AATGTGCAAATTGATATTCCTCAATTATTATTGAATTTTGTAAATAGGAACACATATACTTATTTTGCTTAATCATATTAATGTCATTAAGTTTTAAAACAACACAATTTTTACACCTTCTATGCTACAATTATAGCATATATACACATTTCATTAAATATGTATGATTTTTCCTCTCCGATGAATAATACTTGTTCAAGTATGAATAGAATATCAAGAGCTTCATTTTGAATGTTCCATGCAAAAGTGCACTCTAATGTCTTATTACTGTGAAGTTTTAAAAAGATTACAAATATTATCTCTGAATTAAAACCTTAACATTACTAACTAAATAATAGATGGATCACTTATGATACCGCCTTCCCCACCAAATGTAATTTGTAGTTACTTTACATAGGGTGACATAATACATTATCGACCATGATCAAAATTTTGGCATGAATTTTATATTTTATATTAAAGATAAATGGCTTATCAGACCACATTGTTAATCTAAATCTTAAGAAGAAAAAAAAACTTACTTGGAATACAAACATCGGACCCAGATGTCTGACAAACTTGAGTAGCATTGCATGGATTTGCCTGGCATCGGTCTATCATAAACAGATCAATTATTAGTACTGTTTAAGTAATTTAAGTATTCTATGATATTACATGTATATCTTATGATTCAAAACAGAATCAAATCAAAAACAAATGAGACAAAGTCTACAATTTTACTTTTATCCCCTCACAATAAAGTTGCTATAGTAAAGTATTCATGCATGTGGGAGGGGATACATGTATGTGTGTGTTAGTGCAAAACGGAAGTAGCGTTATTTGCATCGTTATCAATGTTGAATGCTAAATTTATCTATAGGAATCCTTTCTGCGATAGAATCCTTCGCTTTAGGGTAATCTAGTTATTTATAAATATTAAAGTTTGATTAAAAAATAAATCAAATCTTACATTTTATGGTCTTTTGCGTGGTGCAGTAATCGCCCTATAATCGCGGTGAAAGAGATTGATCCTTGCATCGCGGGATCGAATATCACAGAGGAAGATGGAGACCGGTCCTTCCAATAATTAAGACTGTATCACTGAATCTCATATCACAGTTAGTGCTTGCACGAAAAAGACCACTCATTACTAAGGAGCCGTAAGTACCGAGTTCAGCCCGCCAGTAAACAGAGGGGACTCAATGTGATTATAGCATTCTTAATAGGACAATAAACAAAATAGGCAAACAATCATTGTTAACTCTGACTTATTTGGTTTGCTACAGATGGTCTTCAGAAATATATCGGATTGGTCAATCTCATAAAGGACTCTTCCTCAGCTTGATTGATCAATATTTGAATAACTGCAACATATTTAACACATCAACATTTTGAAAAGGACTACTGTTGTATTGTACTGTATTTCAATTAATTTGACATTATAGGATTGTTTAAAAAAACAAATAATTTGTAATTTTAAAAATCAATAGTCAATGCATCTGCTGAATAATCATTTCAATTTGTGCCCGATATACCATAGGCAATTTCGCCACATAGGCATTGTCTTTCAAATGAGGATCATATGTGACGAAATTGCCTGTATAGAAATATAATTGTAAGTCACCTGCAATATTTAAACCAATATAAACAAGATATTTCAATTCAATGGAAGTAAAATAAACATTACATGTACACATAGATAAACTGCTCATATTGTATAACACCATACCATAAAACACATATGATGCAAATGAAAATATGTATGAATGACAAATTAAAGTACTTAATTGGAATTTAAGATACTGTTAAATCAAATATTTTCGTGGGATCAAATTTTTGTGGCTTGAGGAAAATCTTTTGGTTCGTGAGGATTTGATTTCGTGGACGAAGAATTATGCTGTATGTTAAAATACAATATTGCAGAACAACGAAAGTAATGTGTTAGTAAATGTCGTCGTATATTTCTTCATATCAGATTTTTTCGTAATAAAAGAACAATCATAATCTTACCAATATCGCAAAATTCGCCTTTTCTATCGTCAACACATATGCAAAAGAAATAAGGAGGAAATTGAACTTCATAACATGTTCCGTTGAAAAGACATGGATTGGGGTCACATGGCTTATTTCCTGTCAAAGTACAAAAAATATTCTCGTGTATATAAAAGTGCTTCAATAACAACAAATGACACGATCAATAAAAATATCAAATTTCATGAACACCCTTCATGTATCTTTTAACCAGACAATAGAAAGGCTCAAGGTCCTTGATGGTCATCTGAAGATAAAACAGTTTTTTGGACTTATAAAAATATAAAACAATGGGCCCAACAGCCTATTAAGCCTTATAGATGAACTGAATACCATAGAAAATTTTTCGAACAATTGAATTTGGTTTGTGGTTTAAACCGGAGGCCATGAAATTCCAAAATTTGAAATAGACACAATTGCTTATCATAATTATACGCTAAGCGGAGACTTTGTAAGAAAATTTACTTTATCACGAATGCTTGATTAATACCAAAGAGCAGATTTCAAAGTATTATTTATTTTCAGCCTATTTTCAGACTATGTAACCCCCAAGCCCCTGATCCATGGGTTATGAAAAAAACCATTTAATAAGAGGCACTCTTCTTCATCATAGACTTGAACGTAAATCATTGGCATGAAACCCAGACGCAATGGAAATGAATTAGTTAGAATTCATGCTTTCTTACTATTTAATCATTGGAGTCCCTCCCTAACACTCGAACCCCTCATCCAGAGTTCCTGAATTTCATAATTATGGATGAGTCATCCTTTCTCATTATATCCATGCACATTGTTTATTGGTTAAGTATCCAGGAGCAAAGGAGAAGAATTTTCAATATTCATATATAATCAATACAGCCCCGACCGAACACCAGAACCCTACCCTGGGTTTACAAAATTTACAAGTTTGGAAGAGACTGTCTTACAGTATCCGTATCGTTATCATTTACAATTCTATCGTGTCCTATCGTGCGTGTATCCTATCGTATCGTGCGTGTATCCTATCATATCCTATCGTCTCGTGTTTTCCGGTTATTAGGTTTTGCGTTTTCTATCGTGTTTTCCGTTTATCGTGTATATTCGGAAACCCTCGCTTTTTATCTTTACTATAGAAAGAAACTACTGAGCTATTCCGAGTTTCTTTTTTCGTTATGTAAACTAAAATAAGATTACTTCAATCGAAAAAGAGAAAAGACAGTTTTACCCCTTTCTTCTTAATCATTAGAAGAAATATTAAAGCGTAGAAGGAACAGAACAAATAAATAACGTAATTCATAAATAAATAAATTGATTAATACGTCATGATGATTTTCTTTTTCTAACAGCTTACCTTTTTGGCGTGGAAATAAACTGAAAATTTAATATATCGAGTGTCAAATCGAAGACCTTTATTTATCAGAAAACTGACACGTATGTGTACCTCTCTAATCAGCACACTGCCTTCCTGTGCGGTCAACCCCCCCCCCCCCCTTCTCCCCTAAATGACACCTCGGCCCGTGTGTGTTCAACGTCAACATACCTGTACTGCTCTCTCACCTGGGGTCAATTAGTAACTTCGAATACTACTTGGTTCTAATGAACGTATCTACTTATTTTCGGGGTTTTGTTCCTTACTTGTGTGAACAAACTTATTAAAGATTATATTCAAAATAAATTAGATAATTGTTCAATTTATCATTATGGATAAAAAAAATCATCTCATTGCTTTTTAGGTCACCTGAGTCACTCAGGTAACCTATTGCTATCTGATTTCGTCCGTCGTCGTCCGTCGTACGTCGTTCATCGTCAATCGGTCGTAAACTTTTGAACATTTTCAGCTTCTTCTCTGCAACCACTGAACCAATTTCAACCAAATTTGGCACAAATCATCTATGGGTAAAGGGAAACAAAAATTGTGAATTTCATTATCCCTGCCCCCCCCCCTGGGGCCTGGGGGTGGGGCTAAAACCATTAAAATTATTGAATTCTTTAAAAATCTTCTTCTTTTCTCCTGGACATCAAGCAGTCAAAATGTTTGCATGATTGTAATCAGCTTTGAGTCCTTTACCAAAATTGTGAAACTATTGGCCCTGGGGTCAGGGGTTCTTAGGCTAGGGCGGGGCTGAAATAGTAAATAATGAAAATGCATTATTTCTTTGAAAATCTTCTTCTCTGGGTATTAAATAAACTAACTTAGTACATAGTTATGATGAGCAAGAATGCCTCTACCAAAATTGTGAAATTCATGGCCCAAAGGTCAGGGGTTCTGTTGTTAGGATGGAACTCTATTGATCATATAGTGAAAATACATGAATTCTTTGAAAATCTTCATCTCTGCTCCTAGGCATAAAATAAACTAAGTACATAGTTATGATGAGCAGGAGTGCCTCTACAAAAATTGTGAATTTTATGGCCCCAGGGTCAGGGGTTCTGGTGTAAGGGTGGGGCTCTATTGATTATATAGTGAAAATGAATTATTTCTTTGAAAATCTTCTTCTCTGCTCTAGGTATTAAATAAACTAACTAAGTCCATAGTTTTGATGAGCAAGAGTGCCTCTACCGAAATTGTGAATTTTATGGCCCCAGGGTCAGGGGTTCTGGTGTTAAGGTGGGGTTCTATTGATTATATAGTGAAAAAACATTAAATCTTTGAATATATTTTCTTCTCTGCTCCTGGGTATTAAGCAGATGAACTACCTATATAGTTATAAATAAGGGCCCTAAACTCTCAGAATTGTGAATTTCAAGAAGGCTCCAGGGTCAGTTGTACCTTAGAGGGGGAGCGGCTGTACTTTTATACTGAAGTTGAACTAATTGTTTGAAATCTGCTCCTTGGTATTAATCAAATATTTTTGAAAAGCAAGAATGCCTTTTCAAAAATTTTGTAATGTGTGAATCTAGGCCTAAGAGTCAAAGGTTCATGTGTGGTAGCGGCACTTCTTATTATTGCTGAATATTACTGATTTGTTGAAATGCATTTTTTTGTTCCCCTACCCTGCCTATGGGTATGAAGTAACCAAACTAAGCAACTGCTAAGTGTATAGTTATGCTGATCAAAATTGTAAATGCTATAGCATCTGACTTAAAACGGATCAAATTCAATCACTGGATAGTTGTTGCATAATGCTCAGGTGACCTATAAGGCCCATGAGCCTCTTGTTTTTTTCAGGGTTTAATAATTCATTTGCCGACTTAAACCTATTTTTGTTATTATTAGAAACAGTACAGGCAAAGTTTAAAAGCAATGATTTATAATTATTAAGTCGGAAAAGTCGCATTTCACTCTTTCAATATTTGTTTATTAATTTTTGTGTTTTGCATTGTAAAGAAAAAAGTATTTTATCATTCACTGTTCGTTAATTAATACGAGGTTTTACGTATCTGTTATATAAATGTTTACATATACATAAGTGAGATCATAGCGTAAACGTTCATGTACATGTGGAGTTGTAGCAGATTCTTATTCCGTTGACACAGTTTACATGTATTAATGCAGAGCGCGATATATCAACAATTATTTAGATTTCGATTCAGGAAATTAATTTTATTGAACTATATAGTTCTTGATACATCTACCATGTTAAATCTATTTTGTTAAAGCCGATTTCATTGAACCTTTCTTTCGGCCGGTCTTCTACATGTATTTTTTCCGAAGATATTGATACTTAATTGAAAATTTTTGGATACACCGCAGATTTTAGGCTTTAGACATTAAATACACATATTTAATTTATTGCGTAAATTTCTTCCGTAAAATAACTTAGTACTTAGATAAATTTATAAGGTACAAATGTATATTTTTCATAAATAATTAATCTATTTGTAGAGTTTCTTAAATTTATAATAGTATCCGTAAGAAACGGCACATAATAATGTAAGGGATTTTTGTGCAACAATTGCATGTATGTTAATATATCCATAATAAAACGATTCATAGTTCAACCTTAAGATGAGAATTTCGACATTTACACAAATAATCGTAAATTCACACAATTGAGTAGAAATTTAAAAAAAATTACAATCTCAATTTCATAATAATCCATTCAATCATTGTCAATTTTTTAATATAAATAAACAACTTTTGTAAAATTACCACAGTGATCTCAATTCTTTTTTTTATAATAATTAAATGTACTTATAATTTAGATTTGAAGCTTTGCAAGTATTTAAATTAAAATATTGCAGTAACTAAACAAATTAATCTTTTCGCCTTGTCAGAAAACGTTCTGCATTTTGAAACAATCCTATCAGGTTTTGCGTTTATCTTATCGTGAAGATCGTTTATCAGGTCTATTGTTTTTTGCGTTTCTCGTGTTTTGCGTGTATCGTGTTTTGTGTCTATCGTGTTTTGCGTTAATCCTATCGTGCGTGTATCCTGTCCTATCGTGAGTGTATCATATCGTATCGTGCGTGAATCCTATCGTATCGTGCGTGTATCCTATCGTATCGTGTATCCTGTAAAGAATAACGATGCGGGCACTGTATTTAACAAATTATGTACTTGAATAGTTTATTTGATACCCATGAGCAGAGAAAATGTTTTCAAAGAATTAATATATTTTCACTATATTATCAAGAGAGCACCGCCCTAACATCAGAACCCCTGCCCAGAAACAGAGAAAATTTTCAAAAATAGAAAGCATTTACTACTAGTATATAATCTATAAATCTCCACCCTAGAACCAGAACCCCTGACACTGAGGCCATTAAATTTACAATTTTGGAAGAGGCAGTCTTATTTAACATACCTATGTACTTGGTTAGTTTGTTTAATACAGAGGAGCAGACAAGAAGGTTTTCAAAGAATTGATGAATTTTTACCTTTTAATAAATAGAGTCCCATCCTAACACCAGAATCTCTGACCCAGGGGCCATGGAATTCATAATTATGGAAGAGACATCCTTGCCAATGTTTACTAAGATGTACGTGGTTATTTGTGTTTTACCCAGATGAAAATCTGATAATTCAAAATAAGAGCAGAGCCAACAAGGACCTCCAAAATATCAGAGGTAGGATCAGGTTCCATGGAGGAGTTAGCACCCCCTGCCAACCCACATTAGTATGAAAAACGTCAGTCAGCATTTGACTCAATCATAAATTGTATTTGCTGACAAGGCCATTGTATCGAACATAGAAGTTTATGACTTTAAACGAGGCTGCTGATATTCTTGTTTCCTTCACTTGTTTGTCAATAATTAACCTCGTAAAAATTATTCATTAAATCTCTAACAGTTGCTGAAATTTTTTTTTATAAAATAGGCAATTTTTGAGAACCTTATGTAATGAAATACGCCTTCTTCAATTCATGTATCTGTGTTGATGTCCAACAGCAGAGAAGATTTTCAAAGAAATAATGCATTTTGACTAAATGATCTAATAGCCCCGCGCTATCATTAGAACCCTTGACCCAGCGATCATGAATTTTACAATTTTTTGTACATGGTTTAATACTCACTACAGGCATGCAAACAATTTCACTGTTTGATGTCGATGAGTAACGAAAATCTTCAAAGATTGCATTAATCTAGTGGTTTTGGTCCCACTCCCATGCCCCAGGGAATCCGGGGACATGAAATTCGCAGTTTTTGTTTCTCTTCACTCATAAGTGCTTCATTAGAAAATTGGTTGAAATTGGTTGAGTTTTTGCAGAGAAGAAGCATAAAAAGTTCAAATTTTAACGCACAACGCAGGATGCACGACGAACGACGCGCATCGCACTATGATGGACGATAATGGAAAGCAACAGCTCAGGTGACTTAAAAATTATAGTTTAACTTATGGGAAGAAGCAAGTATCCCTTTTTCTGAAAATAGTTGAATTTGCTTTCCCTTATTTTTTTAAAATCAACATTCCTGATATTTCATTTTGAAGCTTGATTTTAGTACAAATTTTCAGACTACTTTTTTCACAAAGGTTCCCACTGAATCCGTTCCTACAGGAACAGTTATATCTGGTGTTGCTATTGAATGACTGACAACGTCCAAAATTTTGGCAAAGTTCTGATGCACAGGGATCTAAAGAATAAAAGGAATAATGTTTTGATTAACTGTAAATATAACTTTATAACAGAAGATTTGATCTTCTCTCAGATTGAAAGGAAGCTCCTACCTGGTAATTCTACCGTAACATAGAGACACCTGTCTGAATAAGCGTGTCTGAAATAAAAAAAAAAATAGAAAAAAACATTAAACTGGACGATTCAATAAACTAAATTGCGGTAAGCTGCATGTTTGACAAAGAGACAGATAGCAATAGTTCGGTAAACCAATGTTTTATTTCATGAAGTCACTACTTCCTCCAGTCCTCATATTTACTATGTCGTCATTCGGACATGGATATTTTTCTTTGTACAGTATGTACAGTGTGTGTTTTAATTGTAAGAAAGACAAATTATATTCGTTTAAAATCTGACGAAATGTTCTTAAAAGTCTTCTATTGTGTCATTTCAAAATATGCGAATAATTTGTATTCTTTCAAGTATCACATTGTGCGTGATTTTAAAGGTAGTGTTCCAAAACGCATCATAAAATAAAAAACTATACATATAGGTATTTCTTTAATGCAAACGATTTCTTATAGATTTTACAAAAAAAAAGATTATGAGGAAACTTTCTAAAGTAGATATACTAGTTGTTCATTATTATTTGTTATTAACAAATTATTGGTTAAATTATAGAACGTTAAGGAAAATCTTAACTAACAATTATTTTGATTCATAAAATTCATCAAACTTTTGACCTTGTGTTAAAAAAAAGACATTTTATGTGAAGCATTAAATATTAAACAAAATTACAAATAAATGAAGGGAAAGACTTTTGTATTGTTCAAAAGGTAATTAAAAAGTTTATTAAATATACAAAATAACCCAAATACCTGTCTAATGCTCTTAAACAAATTTGCCTTGCGCCAGCCTGACTGGCAAAAAATTCTACTTGTGCCACTTTAGCATCAATGGTGCCGTAGATGAGTTCTCTACTGTATTGAATGGTAACGTTCTCCTTGCTCTCAGGTGTACTAATGATACTTGTGATGCCTCTAGGTAAAATGTAGAGATGTATTATTAAAATCATCATAAAATATCAAAATGCAATAAACATATTTACTGTTTAGAACCGGGTTCTGGTTTCTTTAAAAAGTAAAGTTTTTTCAGTATATTTGCTTAGATGTCTACTAAATGCATTCTCAAATGTTTCGAAATATTTCGAAAATATTTTGTTTTTCCTTTTTATAAAGTAGAAATAGTGAACGTGTTTAGTCTAGGAGGGACTATAATTTTGGAGTTGCATAGCGGTGTATGAAACATCACCATTAATTACTGAAAAATCTGTCCTTTCAGAAAAATAGGACAAAATGACATTTTGAAAGTAGCTAGAATGAGACCATTAGGCCGTAAGAGATCTTATGTGATCTCTATCGTATAATCGTTTTTTGTAAAAACAAATATTTGAAATAGGAGCACGCATCAAATAATTGTTTTAAAAAAATGGTTTTGATATGTCTAACATTCATTCAGCTTCTAATTGCAGTCCGGAGGACCTGGCTGCTCTATACATATAAGTGTAAGTGCTGGTGTATGGGGATTGGGGTGGGAGAAGTTATTCAGAATTAAAGGTTTTCTAAACATTGAAAATATTGTTAATCAGAATGTTTTTCCCATTATAAATTACGAGATACATAATATATTTACTTCAATAAAGTGAATCTGTAAAAATATATATGTTTTTCATATTAAATATATTATGTTGCTTATAATTTACTATCTAAAAAACGACAGGTCCCCCTTTTTTTTAGAACATCGAATTTTACTTCGCGAATAAAAACGTACTCTGCACAGTTCGTGTTTCATATTCTATGATTGAAAATTAATACAGTTTTGAATATAGATGATGATTGTGTCTAACTTCAATATATATTTTATGCAGCCAACATTTACTTGAGGAATTAATCAAGTTTCAAATGGTATCGTTTTTGTTTGATTTTTATCCGACTGTTAGTTTTCAAAATATTCGCAACTATTGTCTCCATCAACTAGACGCATGCCTTTTCACACATATCGATTGATTGATTGGATGTTGTTTAACGTCCCTCTCGAGAATTTTTCACTCATATGGAGACGCCACCACTTGCCGGTGGAGGGCTACAAATTTTGTCCTATGCTCAGCACTCAGGGCCTTTGAGCAGTGAGGAATCTTTTTCGTGCCAGTACCTACTGCGACACGGGGCCTCGGTTTATACAGTCTCATCCGAAGGACCCACACAAATCAAAGATGATCATGACTCATTCCCATTTTTTACTTTATATATTTCCCGGGCGACAATTGATGGTAACATCAATGTTTTCTTGTGATATCTAGTTGAATGTTACTGCTTAGCTACAGTGTATATTGTCTTCTTGACTCTGTAAAACTTTCCATATTTTTTCTAGAAAAAGAATGAGAAGACCCCTTCACATGCACTTAAAAAGCAACTTTTAATGGACATAAAGTATTCTAGGGGAGTTTTATTCAGTTGGACTGATATTTCCTTTAAATGGAGAGGAAATAGGTATGTTCACGTGGCTACACAAGGGTTTCCTTGTAAAGTAAAGTTTGTTGAAAAGAAAGAAAGAAAGAAAGAAAGAAGGAAGAAAGAAAGAAAGAAAGATAGAAATATATATATATATATATATATATATATATATATATATATATATATATATATATATATATATATATATATATATATATATATATATATATATATATATATATATATATATATATATATATATATATATATATATATATATATATATATATATATATATATATATATATATATATATATATATATATATATATATATATATATATATATATATATATATATATATATATATATATATATATATATATATATATATATATATATATATATATATATATATATATATATATATATATATATATATATATATATATATATATATATATATATATATATATATATATATATATATATATATATATATATATATATATATATATATATATATATATATATATATATATATATATATATATATATATATATATATATATATATATATATATATATATATATATATATATATATATATATATATATATATATATATATATATATATATATATATATATATATATATATATATATATATATATATATATATATATATATATATATATATATATATATATATATATATATATATATATATATATATATATATATATATATATATATATATATATATATATATATATATATATATATATATATATAGATATATATATAGATATAGAGAGAGAGATAGAGAGAGAGAGAGAGAGAGAGAGAGAGAGATATATATATATATATATATATAGAGAGAGAGATAGATAGATAGATAGATATCGTCACGTCATACCTAAGACGTAAACAAAGTTAGTGACTGTTCCTGCGCCAAGCGCTCGGAACCAGAAGTGAAAGTCACAGGTCTTTCGGATATCACCTTAAAACGCAGGTCCCGTGTCACGGTAGGCGTTGGCACGATAAAGAACCCCCATGCTCAAAGGTCCTAAGTGCCGAATATAGGTCTAAATTTGAAGCCCTTCACCGGCATACGGTGACGTCTCCATTTGAGTGAAAAATTCTCGAGCGGGACGTTAAACAATATACATGTACAATTAATCAATCAATCAGTATAAGCAAGAAATTTAACTTTACAAAAAATGAATTTAGAATTGGATAAAATATTTTAAAATATCAAAATTTCATTTTTTTTTAAATTTATAAACGTTGATTATATGACATTTACATTGTGTTTATAAACATACCCAGCATGTGTAGTAGTCGCATAAACAGGAAATCGACAATAGGTGTCTTTTTTGCATTTTAAATCTGTTGGCTCTGGGAATGACACAAAATAGGGCTTTTCCTAAAAAGGAAGTTTAAAGCAAAATATAAATTAGCTTTTTTTTCTTAAAACTCTATTTTCAATACTTCTTAGTACAGATTACAAATTATGAAGAATGATCTGATGAGTAAAATTTTCATATATATTTTTTTTAATAATTTTTTATTTTATTGAATTTTTAACTTACTGTTTCTTTCGTTGTTGGGTGAAAGATATTTTCTGAAATATATAAAGGCATGTTTCAAAAATAGTTTTCTTTTAAATAGAAATCTAATCATTTTCATGCTTTAACCTTTTGAAATGAAACGTAATGAGATATAGAATAGTATTCAAGATCAAAAGTCCATAAAACGATACAAAATAGGAGCAGAGCAAACACGGACCTCTAAAAAATCAGAGGTGGGAGCTGGTGCCATGGAGGAGTGAGTATCCCCTGCCACCGGTCACACCCGCCGTTGATTTTCGATTTCATTGTCGACCAGGTCCCTAAGGTGATAATGAAATACTACGAAAATATTTTCAACAGATCCTTGATACTATCAAATATTTTCTTAAAATTCCAGATAGAGTTTCAGTGAAAATCAGTGTAAAATAAAATAACAAAAATGTTACTTAATTGAAAAAAAACATTAACAAAAACCATTATGTATCCAAATTTCGCAACAAATTGAATTCATTGTACAATCACGGTAGCTTAACGGTATAATGTTCGCTTCGTGAACTTGAATTTCGGTCGCGACTGACTTTGGTCGATAAAAAAAAAATGAATAGGAAGTGTTTATACGCAGGGTCATTTTTTTATTAGTTGTTTTTCAAGATCGCCGACTTAAAATTTGAGAAATTGAAAAAAAAATTTTGTTAGGCTTTTTTTTTTACAATTGAAATTGCCGCCGAAAAATACGAAGCTAAACCTTTGGGAAAAAATGTGTCACATGCTGCAAAAATGGTGACGACCATGGAAAGGAGCATGTCATCAATACAGTGTTTCCAAAAACCATTTGTCCTACCTGCAAAATTGATAAAAAATCGAAATTTCTTGGATGAAATTCACTGTACATCTTGTACCACCGGTCCATGTGACCGACTGGGGTGAGGGCTTGTCCTGATTAATTTAATTGTTCTCTGATCTAATGTGATGTCTTCAATGAATGAAAATTTTTAATACAGTATGCTTCTATTCTTCGTAAATATCCACAATCATATCTATTTTGCAATTCTTCTTGACTTGTTTACTTCCAAAAACGATCGTTTTTACTTAATCCGAATTTCCTTCATTCTTCTGTTAATGGTAAACACATGCAGTATATAGGTCATGAAGTGCAATGTCCACTGAGAAAACATGATGATGATTTAAATTTATTTTTATTTTGAATTTCTATCAAAACTGCTATTTATAAATGATTCAATTAACAATTTTACAGGTGAGAATTAAAATTTTTGAAAATAATTTTAATTGCCATATTGGTAGTTGCAATCAACTAAATTTTATTTATCAAAAATTAAATTAATTGCATTACGTAAATATTTTTCACATTAACAGTGAACCATTCCAAGTTAAATTAGATCAGGATCATAACGATAAATCACAACATCAAATCAGAAATTAAAATTACTAAGAAACTTAGGAGAACATACATCTTTTGTTTAAAATATGTAATTATGTTAAACTAAAGTAGAATTACATACAAAAAGCTGTTTAATTGCATGTAAAAGTTTTTGAAATATTAAATACTAGTGTACTCTAAAGTTCTCTATCGTGATCTGTTTAGTGCAACCACTTTTCAACTCACAGTCTTTTTTTTCTCTCGACCGACCGACCTTATTTTTTTTTAAAAAAAAGTCTTGAAAAACACCTAATAAAAAAAAATGGCCCAGTGCACCAAGCATTTTGAAGTGAAAGCCGTGGTTCCTTCTGATTACACCGTAAAATTGAGTCCCCGCTTCACGACAGGCGTTGGCATGTTAAATGTTCTCTCTCTCTTTCTGCTCAGTGACCCTGAGTACCCAGTAAAGGTCAAATTAAAAAACCTTGACCAGTATATGGGTGATTTTCTTTATGATTGAACAATTCAAAATGGGACGTAAAGAGCATATAATGAATCAACGAGTCAATATTCTCTACTTTACAAAATGTTTTGTAAAATTTAATAATTTTACAGCAGTTTCCCTATCAAAGTCTATTTTTTTATCTTTCTAAGAATTCACAAACCTTTGACAACAATGCGAAAGCAGTGTAAATCCACAGTCATTACCCTGTTCAGAATAGAAGAAAAGATTTAAAAATAAGTATTATACATACTATATTTATTTGTTACTTTTTGAACAGTATCCTTAAAAAATTAATTATTTTTTAACAAGCTTATATTTCCTTTCCTAATAGCAAGTTAAAGCAAACATGAAGTAAATTAAATGCAATTCATTGATTTATCGATGAGGAATGACAGGCCCGTAACACCAAAGTCAAAACAGCAACGTCAAAACGTACCGAGTTGTAATAAATTTAGTATGCGGGAGGGGGATGTCATTTTTTATCAGGCTACTGGAATTTGCGCAAACTTGACTCGAATCATAATATACAATTCCATAGATGAAAGGACAAATGTTTTTAATATGAAAGATCAAAAAGTATAATGAAGTAAATGACTCTCATCCGGACCTAGCTCTTATGATTTCGATTGTTAATCCCTGTTTGAATGGTTCCTGGGAGTATATAAATAATACAGTGAAAGTGCATTATTTCTTTATAAATCTCTGCTCCTATGTATTAAACAAACTGATTAAACAAATATTTCAAATGAGGATGGATTTCTCCTTAAAATTGGGAATTTTAAAATCCCTGGGCAGGGTTTCTGGTGTTAGGATGCTGCTCTATTTTTAAGATAGTGAAAATAGACCAAGTCTTTGATAATATTCTTCTCTGCTCCTTGACATTAAACAAACTAACTTCACATATAATTATTATGAGGAAAGGTGCCTCTATACAAGTTGAGACTTTTACGGCCCCATGGTCAATGGTTCTGGTGTTAGGGTGAGGTTATTTTAATTTTTATAGTAAAAAATATTCTTTTAAAACTTACTCCTCTGTTCCTGTGTATTAAGCAGATAAACTACCTAGTATATAGCCATGATAACAAGGGTTTTTCTTTCAGAATTGTAAATTTTTCAAGGTCCCTGTGTCAAGGGAACTGTATAAAGGGCTCTAATTATGTACTGAAAATAAATTAATACTTTGAAATCTGCCTTTTGGTAATAATCAAACATTTATGACGAGCACGGGTGCCTTTTCCGAAATTGTTAAATGTGTTGACCAAGGATCAGGAATTTCAGTGGGTTGGGAGCACTACTTATTATTGCTAAATATTACTTATTAGATGCATTTCTTGTTCCCCTACCCTGCCATTGTTAAGTAACCAAACTAAGTATGGTAAGTGTAGAGTTAAAATTGTGAATGTTTAGGCATCTAATAATAAAACTGGAACCACATTCAATGGTTGGAATGTTGTTGCATTGTGTTTCGCTGACCTATAAAGTCGATTGGTCTCCTATTTTTCTACGAAATAAGTACGTCGATGAAAATTGGCTCGTCAGGCAGTCTTCAATGTTTTATTCATTCATCTGTAAAACACTACGAGCATTTTTTTTTCAAACATGCTTCATGATCTCCGACAAACGTTTGTTGTATTATAGAATTTTGAGGTCACCTTATATTATCTTCAGCATTTGCACATAGGATATGATGGCCTTTGTCCACTTTTGTTGGAGACCAGCGCATTGATATAAATACAGCATTGTCACTGATATGAGATGCGTTTTGAATTCCTGTATGATTGACCGGTTTCCCATCTCGTCGAAGGAAATCAAATCGCACAATCTTCCTTCAAAAGAAAATCAAGAAGTGGTCCAGAAGTTGTTACTTTTGAAAATATTGTAGACTTCTCAAATATTTCCAAACCATACCTTCCAAATGTTGCTTTGGCGTAAACATCTACATGGAAATCTCCTCCAACATAAATAGTGTATTCCTGGTTATTTCCTGGAGTAGGTGGAATGATGGTAGGGGGATCTGTTCTTCCCGTGATTTTGAAATACATCTAAAATTTGAGTTTTGCAAGAAAGAAAATATTAATTCCAAAATATTATCGTTTATGCATTGAAAATACCGAGTAAATAGACAATCTCATGCCATTTATGAAATGAAAATGAATATTCTTTTAAAATTAAACATACCAATACCACAACCCTTCCAATAGTGTTTTTATATGGAATATGAGGCACCAGCGTTGTAGTCTGAATTGATAAAGGGTGTGTACCGTAATCTTTTACCGTTACTGCTACACCAAATGTGTCATTCTCATGAAAATAGCTTTGACTGACATTAACCTTCATTACACATGTCTAGAAGAAAATTCAAAAAGGACAATTTATGAATAAAGAAAGATTTTAGATATACATATCTTCATATACATATTACTCCTTTCCACATTGATCGAAGATTATTTACAAGAAAAAATCTCAAGAATTCACAGTTAAAAAACGTAAAAAAAAATTACATGTTTTAATAATTGCAGTAATACACACCGTTCGATTAAGGGAAAAAAGACTTTGCGTTGTTAAGTTCGCTACAAAAGGTCCCATGCCTGAAGATTCCACATATTTTGAATTTTCACAGCGAATTGCATCCCCATCATTGTCAACAGATGTAAGGTGTATCGTATGTACCTTCCCTATCTCTAAGCTGAAAATAAGGGGAAGAAGAAAATTACTTGTCATTTTTTTTTTATTAATTTGAATATTTGTTATTTAGCATGTCCTACATACATAAACGCAGTTATGGTTTCTAGCCCTATTTTTGACGTCTTGTTTCTGGGCCCAATACTCTGTCTATAATTGATTTTTTTAGCATAGATAAAGTAATATGTGAATGGAAATGTGTCTTTTAAAATATTTCAGAGTATAAATACGGTTTGAAATTCGAAAAAGCAAATTTCTTCTATTACACTGCATCTGGAGAAAGGAAATTGCGCACTTTTAAGATAACTAAAACATTAAAAAAAATCATGGTTCTATTATTAAATTTTTGAAAATATACGTTGAAATGCAAGTTCTTTATTTATAAATTAATTGTGAAAATATCGCAGAAGGCATAATTAAACAAGACATAAGCATGAGAAAACGTTTCATGTTTACATTCCTTGAATACCGGAAAATCAAATTATGAGGTCACACATTTGCGAAATAAGCAAAATAAGACAAACTTACTAGAGATTTCCATCAACAACCATGTATCAATATTTTTTTATGTTCCCTAATTCACAAAAGAAACTACTAGTAATCATATTATGCTCATGACCAGTTTCTCTGTTAAAATAGCTGACCTCGTTTTGCCGTATATATTCTTTCTGTACTAAGAGATCGGCAAAGGTGTCAACGACTCGTTGGACGCGCAGTGTAGGGACACAGAAGAGTATATCAATCTATTCCCTAATTTGATAATAAAAATCAAAGTTTATTATATTTTAAAATATTTTATACACGATTGTAAACTCAAACAGACTATCAAAAAATAATACAAGCACTGTGGTTTCAATCATGTTTAGTACATACATGTATATTATCAGAGACTATGATGTAGTTAAAACGAGTCATGTGACCATGTGTTCATTTGTCCCTTAAAAATTACAATTCCAGTGATGTCGATGATCCTTAATACTCATCTGATTAACTTTGGCCATCTAGTTCCTGAGAGAGAGATTTAGAAAAAAATTCTTTCCCGCTTTATTCTGATAAAAATAACATTATACAGCGGCTTATTCCTTGACCCTTTCGGTCATAAACTATGCAACTTGAATCAAACAACATGGGAAAATTTTACTATCAATGTAAAAATGTAAATGCAATGTAACAAAAATAAATACATTTGTTCTGTATACATTCATTATCAAAATTTACTATGACCCAAAGGTCCACAATTAAAAAAAAAACTTTTACCAATATGCATACAAGTAAATTGTTTTCAGTACTTATGATGTAGCTGACCTTGCCCTGATTGGAATTCTTCTCTCAAATATTTATATTGTATATAACGCTTGTCCATTAATTTGCACCTGATCAGAATATGAGAAGAATGTGATAAGGGTGTTTCCTTAGAAATCCTTATTTCGTACAATATTCATTTTGGTAATGGATTCATGAGTTTGAAAATTGTTTTTTAAAGCTTTGAAAAAAATCTTTCAAAGTTTGCTATTGTTTTGTTTTTAGAAATAAAATGTTATGAGTTTTTAATATATTTCTTTACAATGATCCTTTATTTTGACCCTATTGAAATGAATAATATGGAATCTTTCGTATGTACATATAAGCCTTCACATACGCATCATTCCTTCTAAATCGATGGTTCTTGAAAAAAAAAGTTTTTAAAATAAGTTAACTTTATATTTTCCTTTTTCCACATTTTCAAGGAGGTTGTAATATCCCTGTAACATTAACTTATTTGTCAATAGCCTGTCTCGATTAAGAAATTATTTGTTCTTTTAAATAACTGATTCATTAGTTGTAAAAAAAAAACGAAAATAATCCGCTTTTTCAATAGTTTCTACTTGTAGCAAAATGATTTAAAAAGATACTAAGTTACTTACTATTTAATTCGATCGATTAATTGATTGTATATTGTTTTATGTCCCATTCAAGAATATTTTACTCATATAGAGACGTCACCATATACCGGTGAAGGGCTTAACATTTTGAGTTTTTCTCGGCCATTGAGCAGTGGGAGGTCTTTATCGTGCCAACGCCTACCATGACACGGGACCTCGGTTTTTAAGGTCTCATCCGAAGAACCCGCAACTTTCACTTCAAAGTGCCGGGTGCATGTCGAAGGAACAGTTGCTTCCCATTTTTTATCGACTTAGGTTAGTCACGGCCAAGATTCGAGCTGACGACCTCCCGATCACGGAGACGTTACGCGCGTTGTTGGTGCTATTTTACAATTTTAGAATCTGACCTATCAAACTCATCGGTAATTTTAAAAATATACTTGCAATATGGATGGATTTGGTATGATTGGATAGATTTTCAACAGAACTACCTGATTTTTGTTAGAAAATAACATTTAAATAATTTTTATGCAAAAGGTAATATTTTAAAACGCAAATAAAGGGTATTTTAAGCGTGTAACGCGTTACATTTTTTAGCAGGGATAGCGCATTTCTCATGTGTAGAGCGTTCCTATGTAAATCTAGAATTTTCATTTTCCTCACAAAATAATAGAAAAACCATGTCGTTTATGATTTTATTAACAATTTTGCATTAAATTTTGGCAAGAAATAAAAAGAGGTAGTTTTTACAGATGAAGAATCTGTAACGCTTTTAATTAAAAACGTGCATATGAATATACACAATAAATTTACTCATTTACACGAAAGTTTATATAGAACCAAATTATATCAAAATGATGTGCTTTTCCTATAGATTTGAAATATTTCATTGATGTTGATATCAAACTGCATGCTTTGGAGCTAGTAATTGGATTACAAGTTCAATAGAAATGTCCAGCGTCTAAAATGACGTGTATAAATAATACAATGCTTTTTTTGAGTCGTTAAGTTATATTGTTTTCCCCATCGACTACAAGAATAATTGAATGTTCATAATGTGCTGCTCTAAACGTTTAGATTGAATGTCAGATTAATAAATCTACTTCATTAATTAATATTTTATGCAACATTTAGGAGATTCAACATATTTGTCTAGTGGACGTTCTTGACGCGTAAAATTCGTTCTGCTTCAACGACAATACATGAAAATGCGTTAAGACTGCTTCGAGTAATTAACAAAATTTATCATACACATACAAATCCAAAGCGCCCATTATGTTCATTAGTTTTTACACTTGTATTTCAAGTACAAAGAGATAGCAATGGGGTACCAGTCAAGCAAGTAATACAATAAGAAGCTTTACGTCAATTTTTCCATAACGCTATGAAAGCGTAACGTCAAACGTCACCAACATCGCACGTAAAGTCGGAGCGAGCTCTCTCCCGACTGAGCTACCGTGAACGGTACTATTTAAGGGGATGAAGGATAGATGGTCACGTGACTCAGTTGATTTACGTCATAATCTCTGATAAAATATGTACAAAACGAGATTGAAACCACAGTACTTGTATAATTTTTTGACTGTTTGTTTGCGTTCACCATCTAGTATAAAAATATCTTAAAACATTCAAAATTTCTTGCAAATATTATCAAATTACGGAATAGATTAATCCACTCTGCCGTTTCCCTACTCTGCGCGTCCAGTACGTCTTTGACGTCATAGTGGATCTCTTAGTTCAGTAAGATCATATACGGTAAAAACGGGTAGTATAAAATCATAAAAACGGGCCATAATATGTACATGGTAGGGTATTTTGTAAATTTCAGAACGCAAAAAATATTTTTACATGGTTGTTGACGGAAAAGTTCTGTGGGTTTGTCGTAATTCGCTTATTTCAGGAATGTGTGACGTCATAGTTGGGTTTTCCCGTACTCGAGTAATGTAAACATGACACGTTTTTCTCATGATCATGACTCGTTTAACTTTGCCCCGTGCAATATTCAGCTCAGCTTCACCAATCGATATTTTTACAGTTAATCAATACAATGACGACCTTGAACTTCGACGTAAATTTTCAAATATTGAATGATTGGATTTTTTGCAAATTAATTTTTTATGGTTTAAGTTGTCCTAAAAAAGTCGTAAATTTCCGTTTCCAGATGTGGTGTTACAAAAGAATCTTGCTTTTTCGGATTTTTAACCCTATTCATACTCGAAAATATTTTAAAAGACACATTTCTGCTGGTATATTTTTTATCTATGGTGAAAAATTTCAATTATCGACCGAGTAATGGACCCAGAACCACGGAGAATAAAAACTCCGCTCAGACACTGTGGGGTATGGTATTTGTCACTCAATATCTCAGAAATAAGTCTAGAAACCTATTGATATGTCTGCTTTATAGTATGTAGGACATACTAAATAAGATATATACAAAATATGAAAAAAATTAAATGACAGGTATTTTTTCAGCTAAAGGTCCTTCATCCCCTTAATTCGAAGAAGATATTTTATTGAAGTTTAATTCAATCTAAGTGTATCATGTGCAGTATGCAAGCGAGTTAAAGAATATTTATATATTTACCTATATAAAGGTTTCACAAGAACAACTGGACTTCTGTTAGGTCTTTTTGTGTCATTTCTTATCCCTGGTTCCAACTTTACTTGAAGGTCAATGAGATGAATTACAGGTAAAAGTGTCATTCTGACATCTAAAGAGCTTTTAAGCCTATGAAATAATACATAACAGTAGTATAAGACGCCTAGATGGCTGGGTCAACTGAGTGCACTTTTGGGGCTGGTGGGGGATAGCTGGGTCAACTGAGTGCAGCCCCTGGGGGGATAGCTGGGTCAACTGAGTGCAGCCCCTGGAGGGGATAGGTGGGTCAGGCGAGTGCAGTCCCTGTGGGGGATAGCCGGTTCAATTCAGTACATATAATCCCCCTAAATACGGGGTGTGTTTACACTGTG